GGGACTATGGTGGTGGCACAGGGGTGATTTGGTGATGGGAAACCCGCGGGGATTACAATCAAGATGGAAAAAAAAAATGTGCAAAATGATGTAAAAATAAACTTTGTAATAAAAAAAGAAGAAGAAAAAAAAAAGTAGATGAAGTTAGACAATGCCCATGAAAGCATTTTAGAAAGTCTTGAATGCTGAGTCAATATAAGTTTACTTTTATTAATAACATTATGACCTTCTTGTAATAAGTGATATGTAAATAGTGAAATAATTTAGCCATCACTGTTCCTTTCTTTTTGTTTCTTTCACATGATTATAAAATAGGAAAAATAAATGCATTTACTTTGAAACAAACGATCTAGTAGATCAAAACTTTCATAGCAAATACTCCCCTGCTTTAATCAGAATAAAAAAAAATTGAAACTAAATATTAGGAGTATATAAGAAAAAAAAAAAAAACCCAAAACACTAAGTCAGCCAAGCATGTATTATTTTGAGAAAATCCATACTGATCTTAGTGACCTTAAGTAGAAAACATACCTAAATTACTGACAAATTTATATAAACACATTTTTAATGAAAACCTATAAAAATATGTTGTTGTTTTCTTTGAACATACTCTTCTTTACTGGAGGAAAATAAAAATAAAATTTCAGAAAGCTACCGAGTTTAAAAATACCTAAAACATGAGTAAACAATCAGGTTACTCCTTAGTCCTAAAGAATCTCTTAAATTGATCTTTTTAAATATTAATTTCTTATATGCCACTTGAAAAAATTACTTAAAACTATAACTGATGATTGCAGCTAATGAACTACTGCTAAAAATATTACGATATTATGTATGTATGTGGGTATCTGATATTCATTTTTAGAAACATGCTGAAGACTTATGATGTGCCAGTTACTATGCCAGTGCTACTAGTTCCTGGAGTTATAAGAGGGAATAAGATACAGATGACCCCTATTTTCACTGATTTTTAAATTTACCAAGGGAGTCACATATTTAATAGCTTTCAAATGTAATTTTGTTAAGTGCCATGAAAGGTAAGAATGTGGTAATATGAAAAATGCTTAACAGGGAAAGTATAGTTTAAGGTTTTAGGAATTGCTTCCCTAAGCAAATTAGGCTTGTAGATGAAAATCTGTGTCAGGTATGGTAGGGGGTGGTGCGGTGAGATGCTTCTAAGAGACTAGAATAGCAAAATGTACAGAGTTCAGAGGATGGCATACGGCACATTCATTGAATTGTGGGAATGTCTGATTGGAGCAGAGCCATCAATGGGAGATCCGAGGGAGGCCATGCACATGGGCTTAGGGTCAACTGAAGCACACCTGTCACTGAAGCTGTTAAGCAGGTCACTGATCATTACAAATGGGGAAAAATATTTAAAGTCATGAGGACTTCAGGGGAAATATTAAATTTCATTAAAAAAGCATCAAAAATCAGAACTACAGAGCTATGGAAATTTTTATTTTAAAATTAATAGAAAAATGCTAGATGTAAGATGGAAGAAATTAAAACCAGGTGTTACGATGGAGTTAAATGTTAAAAGGACAAAAATAAGAACAGAACTTCAAAAGATCCCTAAGTCCCATATGAATGAGTAACATGTTGAAAATATGTTTGATACCATACATGTAGTTGGAAGATAGGCTAGAGATAGTTATGTTTATTTTACTGTATCTCTATTGAAAATTTCAAGGGAAGATTTTCCATAACAGAATAGATTCTTAGCCTGCTTTGGGTTGAATATACACAGTAAAAATGATATTAATAAATACATGGAAAAATTTACTCAAAATTCTTAATAGTACTCAGGAAATAATTCTTATTATATAACTTCTAAAATATTTCTTACCTGAAAATTACTAATATTGAATCTACCATGAGCATTAAAATCTCTGTCATTGCAGATTTTTTTTTTTTTTTTCTTTTTTACTGTGATGCGTGAGGAGGCTCTTTACAGGCTAAGGTTAGAACTGTCTTAGTGAAAGGATAATCTCTGGAAAAGGGCTCCCTCAGGACTCCAAGCTACACTCCATGCTTACGGTGAGTCTTCTGCATTCACACTGCTTATACAAATTTAGGCTAAAGCAGTAGATTGAGTTAAGATTTCCAGAATTTATGAGTTTATGGTACTCTTTTGGAAATAGCTTGTTTCCAGATACACAACAGAAAACCTTTCACTTTCTTCTGAACCTACTTATAGACTAACAATTTAATAAAACATGATTTAGAAGTGAAATACAATACTTACACGTCTCCTACTAACTCCCAAGTTCTCCCTACTTTACATGGAGACATGTAAAGTAGTTCTAAAGTAGTTCTGTGTAGTTTTAAGATACCACCTTTGATATAGTTGAATAACCAGACTGTAAAACAAAGGCCTTACTGAAATGACAGTATTTGTGTATGATGCTCACTGCATCAGGGACGATGGGATGCTTTTAAGGATCAAGGCTGCTTTTGCTTAGGGACTCACTGCCTGCATATTCTGCTCAAGGTGCTGACCTGATCCCTGGCACTGCAGCCTTAGAGGTCAGGAAGGTCACTTCTTGGCATGTTAAGAATATTTCAAATTGGAGATCCTGTGAGGAAAGAAATACACCTAAAAGTGTAGGATGTACAGGTGTATGACTTCTTGTTCTCGGCCTCCTATCCCTCAAGTTAGTCAACAGCAGAAGCTTTGAAGAGTTTATTCTGAAGCCCTCCCTGGTGGTGCAGCAGTTTAAAGCAATGTACTAAGAAGCTAAAGCCACTTCCACATGAGTTCAATCCCTGCCTGCCCCGCAGCTGACCCACACAGCACGGCAGACCTCTCCTGACCCGCCCACTGCTCCCCCTCCACAGTGTACATCGTAGATCTTCCTGCTCTGCTCCCTGCTCTGTCTCTGGTGAATCCTCTCACCCTCTGCATCTCTGGCCTGTACCCCAGTTCTGTATGCATAAATAAATAAATCTTTTTAAAAAAGTTTATTCTGAGTCTCTTATATAAAACTTGGAGATTTATAAGATTTAATCAGATGATGTAGGCTTTTATTGCAGAAAAATAAGTCTGTCCCCTCAGATGCATTTTCCAATCTAGCTTAAAAGCACAAAATATCCTAAAATTAAAATGTTCAAATGGTTCTTGACCAAATAAAGAGAAAATTCAACTGGTCAATTTCTACATATTCTCCATCAAGAAACTTCAGGAAACGATGACTAAATACTTATAACTTTTCTATTATTAAAAATGAGTAGACATATTTTTTGCCCATCACAATATCCTAAGCCTTATTTTTCACATTTTAAAAAGAAATATACTGGTATACAATTACCTCAACAAAGACCAGCAATAGCAGCTTAATATGCTCCGACATGACAATTATATATTTCTTATGTTTACTGTGCAAACACTACCATCATAAAATAAACTCACAATGATTAAGCACCAGATAATTCTAAGCTTTAAATATAGCCCACCCAACAATATTAAATAGAATATCAGCTACTAGACAACTCTGCTTCATGTATTAGTATAACAATAATTACATCTGTGCAGTTCACACATTGCAGTGTATTAAAGAAATAAAGTTGCAATTTTCTATCATAAAACTCAAGTCAAACCAATATATTTGACATGACTTATTCATATATAATATCAATTAATGTTTTAAATATAGAGTGGATATGTGTTCATCTCATACTTACCCATGAAATTGAGATAGCCCTCTCCACCAAGTGCATGAGTGATAAGTCGAATCATTTTATGAAGCTGTATTCCACGATCAATGACTGGAGTAAAAGGGGCCAGCACACTCATATTGGTATACATTTCAGCATCCATCAACCAAAATGCCAATGTTTTATCCCCAACGAGTGCCTATAGAAATAAAAGTCATGGGATAAACGTAAAGAATAGACATTAAGAAGTTGCAACTTAGATAAGATGGGCAAAATTACAGGAGAATTAGTACTAATTATGTAAATGAATTAGTATTAATTTCAATTATCCTTTAAGAGTTACTCTCTATGCATAAGGTATGCTGGTAAAATACATTAGAGAACAACACATCTGTTTTCAGGGCTCATTTTTATTTTTTAAGGAGCTTGTTGAAAAAAATCAGGCTAAGGCATCAGAATATTTTTTACACCGAGGCTGATGCCTCAATTTTCTAAACTTGGAATAAACATTTATTATAATGTTGAGACTACTAAGTATATTTTTTAATTATTTGCATACTTATACTATTTTACTTTGAAATATGGAAGTATTTTTACAAAATATTCACATGTGTATGTATTCATATGTATATTATTTATATATGAATATAATTATAATATGTATATTACACACACACACACACACACACATATATATGAATATATTACAATGGACACTTCTCCCCTCTACTTGGTTATAACATTTTCATAAAATGTAAAATTTTCTTATTCTTTTACTTGCTATTTAAAATAAATTAATTTCTTCTATAAAATATAATAATTGATAAGAATGGAAGGTAATTCAGAAACACCCAGAGAAGCAGAAGAGAGCTTTCTTAATCTGAATTATTCATATTTAAAAACAACTAATACAAACTAATATCCACTGACAGAAAATATATAGTGAAACATGTAATAGAAATTAAACCACAATCTTATCATCCTAATATATCTCCATTTTTAGAAAAATATTTTTACTTACATCCTATTCAATCTGCAGTCTATTTTTATTTAAATTACCTTTAAAAAATAACTGTTATAAGATTTGCTCATTCTATAGTTTTTGTCCTTATTTTAAGGGGCAAGAATTAACTCAGGATATGTTTACTACCACAAAATTCTTAGGGTGCCATCAGATGATAATTATCATCTTCCTTGCCTGAATTTATTATTATTATTATTATTATTATTATTATTTGCTTTATCAGATAAAGCAGTCTCTTTGATTTCTGACTTATAGGCAGATATTTTAAATATAAACATATAAAGCAAATATACAGTGTTATGGACTAAATTGTGTTGTTTCCTCTCCCAAATTCACATTCCCAATCCCCAGTATGACTATATTCATGCGTGAGCAAGGTCATAGGATGAGGAACCAATTCAACATGACTGATGTGTTTATAAGAAAAGGAATAAATACCAGGAATGAGTACACAATAAAAGTCCACTGAGGATTAGAGATTTAGTCACTTGCATGTCTAGGAGCCGACTCAGTTGAAAGTAAAACTCCTGGCTTCTTCACCTTGGACTTACAGTCTCCCAAACTACTAGAAGTAGAGTTCTGTGGGTTAAACCAAACTGGTAATCCTAGCAGACTAATACATACCAATAAATGAGCTTCAACCAGAGACGATTATTGGTGCCTGTAATAAGATTAATTTGCAAATAGTGCTGTACTTCTAAAAAAGGTTTTAAAAACTTTATATGTAAAATATATACGTTTATTTAGTTATGGTTAGACAGCACTATTTCTTTTTTTTTTATTTATGCATATAGAACTTGGGTACATACAAGTCAGAGGTGAAGGAGGTGAGAGGAATCAACAGAGACAGATTGAGGAGCAGAACAGGCAGCCTGACAAAGTACATTGCTAAGGGGAGCAGTGGGCACGACTGGAGAGGTTTGTGGCACCATGTGGGTCATCTCCCTTGTTGGGGATCAAACTTATGAACTCATGCTGCAGCAGCTGCAGCCAGACTCATGTGCCTTAACCTGTTGCACCACCAGGGAGGGCCCAGCACTAATTCTTAAATGATTTTACCTTTCATTTATTTTGAACTGCTTAATTATATCTTTATTTATAATTATGATTATCACTAAAATTGCTGTTCCTTTTATAGAGTTACAAAATATATAAAAGTTATTTTGATAACTTCTGTTAACTTTCTTAAATTTCTACTATAACATATATTTCTACATTATTCACTATATAATGTTAAGTATTTATGATTTCAAAAAGGCTTAAATATTCAGTATACATTTAATAATTTTTATCATATTTCTGATAATATGTATTTTGAATAGCCTGAGTCTTTAAAATATTACATAATTCTTGCTAAGTCTATATCGTTCCTGTACTTTCAGAAGAAAATTATGATAATTTATCAATTTTTAATTTGTTTATTCCAATAATTTATTTAGTCTTTCATTTCTTCATCTAAAATAAACATATTAAGAACTTAAAAAGTACTACATCTTTAAAATATTTCAATGGAAAGGTAGAATTTATGCCAAGTATTCTCATTTTCGAGGTATTTGGTATAAATGTATTTGGTACTAGCTATTTGTTACAGGTATAGTTCCTCCAACATTGAATTAATATTACTTGTTTCATTATATTTTGCTCTTATCTTCTTCATAGGCATTTAGTTAATCTACTCTTTGGCCTACTGTAATTTAAAGACAGCACTGTCCTAATTTGGAAGATGCAAAATTAGGGATATATCTACTTTATGAGTCAGTAAATTTTCTGAAAAGGCCAAATAGTGCATATTTAAACATGGTGGGATACTCTTTCTATCTCAACTACTAAAGCCTACCGTTACGGGTCAAAGGCAGTCACAAACAACACATAAATGAATACGACTGTGTTCTAATTCACTTTACAAAAGCAGACAGCAGGCAGAATATGGCCCATGACCCCTAGGAACTGACCTCTGGTCTACTTATACTTTCTTAATAATTAGTTGAAACACCTGAAAAAAAAAAAATCTGTTTACCTGAAATAGCCAATGATAGCCAATTTCTTTTGAAATAATAGAGACAATTGTTTGAGTTTCCCTTTTCTTCATATATACTGCTAAGTTCAAAGAAATATTGCCTCCTTTTTATTGTACAAGGAATACACTTTTTTTTTTCTTTTGTTTAGGACAATTAATGTGGATTTAAATAAATGGCCTTACCCCTTGTCTATATTTGTTGATTAACCATGAGGAACAGTAACAGATATAAGGCTGAAATCATAAAGGGAAGGTAAACAAAAGTTTCCCTAAAATGTGTTGAGAACATAGATAATGGAGAAAATATTTTCTCCCTGTACAAGGTGAAGATTTCAGGGAGAATATGACATTTGAGTCAAGCATTAGATCTTTACTGGATGTTCCCAGGTGAAGCAGGCATCTTGAGATGTGTATGAGAAAGTCCAAGGTAGCACCAGGTGGACCTACTTGAGGAAAGGGTAGGAATTTTATAGTATTGGAGAACCGAATGGTTAGAAGACTGATTGGGGAATTTTGAAACTCTGGCTTTGGCCTAAATGAGGAGCTTTACCAAAAGATCTGGGTTGACAAAATAAGATTTGGTGTTTGGAAAATACCTCACATTGAATTAGAGAAAATGAAGTAAAGCTGAGAGGGGTCAGGCTGATCAATTAACAGGAGATTTCAGTGATTGAAGAATAAATGAGGACTGCTTGTCAAAAGACATTTAAAAAAAATCTTTCGAAGGAAACCTCAACTGGAAATTAAAATTAACTTGGATCAGCATCAATATTCCTCTCATTACAACAAAGGAAAACATGTACGATAACACTTGCTACTGTCATTTACAATCTTTTCATTACAATTTGGCCTAGTAGAAAAGATACTGCATTTTGAAGCTGGAATTTATAGGTCTGCAAAATCATTTTAAAATGTTTTTAGTATGAGCAGTTTTCACATGAATACATCTATATAGAAAGACAGAGATAACTTATATTAACTGTACTAGACAAATAAGTATAGAGAAAATGAACTAAAAAGAGAGATAGAGGGAAAGAATCAATGAATTTACACATATAAACACATATTCATTTACCTGATCATGGCTCTCTGCATAAGCAATGCACTTTTCCAGGTAGCGTCTGTTTGTGAGTGTGAACACAATATTGCCCATATTCCAGTCTTCATCTTTAAATTCTTTAATTAACTAGATGCAAGAGTGAAAATATTTTCAGTAAGCCATTATTACTCTTAATGGTAAACCTCAATCTAAAGGTAGACATCATAGTAACCCAAATGATTGGACATGCACATAAAGTGCACCCACACTACAAAGATATTTTTGTTTAAAATATTACTGAAATCAGAGCTTTAATACAAATTGTCCAAATGACAGTGGTGGCGTTGAGTGTGGATTTTCGCTTTGTGCCAATGGTTTGATCATCGCCTATTAGAATTTGGCAACCATTTTTTACTCTTGTGACAAGTGCTACCTTTTGATTAATGACTACAGCAAAGTGTTACTGTACAACGTCTTGCTGTAATGTTCAGGAAATAGAGATATACTTGCTACAATTTAGGTTTGGAAAAAGAGGTATTTTAATAGGAATAGTTCCATTTTTTCAGTTATAATTATAACAACTATCATTTAAAAGTTTAAAGACAAATTGTCTTAAGAGACCTCAAGTTTTTGTCTCTACTCAGTTGCCACTCATTCTTCAATCTAGTGTCTGGCCAGCTAACACTTCTTCAATGCAAAGGACCTTGCCAAGAATCCACATTATTATCTGTTAGTGAGCAACTGCTCTTTCTTAGGGAACCTCCTGTACAAACTGACAATTCTTACTGACATATCCCTTCCCATCAAACGCTGTTGTTTCCTGCCACTTTGAGACTCTTTTGTCTGGCTCTCCTAGCACTCTAGCTCCTAGCTCCTTCAGGCCATTCCATAAAAGCAAGTGTTCCTGATCATGTCCTAAAATAACCTCTTTCATTGATTGGCTTATTTCTCTGTCCCAAATATCACTGTACTGCCATAAGCAGAATTACAAAATGGCCCCCATGATTCCTGCTCGCCGTATTCACACTTTTGCCTTCACCCAAAACATGGGTGAGATCTTTAATATGATGAATACCTTCTGATAAAATTGTGAAGTAATAACTGAGTTATGTTTAAATTGCTGCATTTCACTATGCAGCACTAGAAAGTGAATGCACACTTTGATACAAGGGTTCTAGTCTGCTTTCACCCACTGCTGATTTCAGAAAATAACACTTGCTTAGCCATCCCCAAGACTTCAGTATGGATCAATGGATACCCGAAGACTGTTAGGCAAAATAATGACCACCCACAGAGATTCACATCCCAATGCCCAAAAATATATATTCTCACCTTGAAATGCGGGCTTAAGGTGTATTAAATTAAGCACATTGAAATGTGAATATTATGTTACTTCAATATGTTTAATTGATGTGTCCAATGTAATTATAGGGAACTTTGTAGAAAGAAGACATGACTTGTCAGAGTAAGAAAAAGATTTAAAAAAGATTTAAAGGAAGGAGCCATGAGCCAAGAAGGGTTGCTGGTTTTAGAAGCTAGAAAAGATAAGGAAACTAGAGCTTCTGAAGAAATTCTGTTTTTCCAGTCCTACATTGTAAGCCAGTAAAACCTATTTGAGATTTGTGAATTACAGAATTGTAAGACCTATATAATTATAAAACTGTGCACTGATTTTAAGCTGTTAAGGTCACTAAGCCACTAAGCATTTGTGGTAACAATTTGACATTAATTATAGATATGACTGAAATGGGCAAATAAATTTTTGAAAACAAAACACCAAACTCTTGATGTAAGTGATACATTTTGTGAAAGTTAATTCAAATGGATCATGGGTGTAAATATAAAAGTGTAAAATGTTTAATAGTAAACATAGAAAAGTAAACGAATTCTCAGAATTGACCCCAATGAGATTTCTAGAGTGGAAAAAAAAAAATTATCAAATTGGCCTTCACCAAATTTAAAATAAAGGCAGAATGTTTGCTCTATGAAAGTTCACATGAAAGGATGCAAGTACAATCACAGACTGGAAAAAATATTTATCAGCCCCATATCCAACAAAATAATTGAATCTAGAATATACAAAACTCCACAGTAACAAATAACTAGAAAATAGGGAAGAGGTACCTACCAACAGACACTTTCCTAAAAGGATATGTGGAAGATGTTTAAATATATAAATTGACATTTGCCATTATAAGTCACTAAGGAAATGAAAATTAAGACTGCAGTGAGGTATTACTATGTACTTGTTAGACTAACTAAATTAAAAGCATGACAACAGCAAATGATGTGTGAGAATGTACAGATCTGGTTGTTTTCAATAGTACAGGAGTTTCACTCTTCTGTCTTATTAACTATGGACACTACTTTGATAATGCAAGACGGTTTTAAATAATTACATAAAAAAGATTTTTATTTCTGTCTACAGAGAATTTAAAAACCTAGAGTGTAGGATAATGAGACCCTAAACATGGTACTATATGTATTTTTTGGAAAGATTTATTTATTTATGCATACAGAACTAGGGTACAGGCCAGAGGTGCAGGGTCAGTGAGAAGATTCACTAGAGACAGACTGGGGAGCAGAACAGGCAGATTGACTAAATAAACTGCTGAGGGGTGCAGCAGGTGAGACAAAAGAGGTTTGCTGTGCCATGTGGATCACCTCCCTGGCCAGGGATCAAACTAGTGCAGTAGTGATTGCAGATAAGCCTCATAAAGCTGCAGCTTAACATGTTGTACCTCTTGGAAGATCCCTTGCTGATTATTTCTAATACAATTTTATTAATGTTAATGATCCTTCAGTGGTTTGGATTATGTGTTTTCATTGAATATTTAACTAGGGACTAAAGTTGTTACATAGATTTGATAAAGGGCTTCTTTGAATGACCAAGTCTATAATCTTAAGTTAAGTATATTGAAGAAGACAGATGTGTATCAAATAACCATGGCTTCCTGATGAACACTTTTAATACACCATGAACTGGTGCTTTGTGATCACAAGATTAGAAATGCTTAAACTTTCATAGAGGCACTAATCTACTCTGAAAGAAGTGATTACTGTATTCATCTCTTAACTGTCTTTCCTACAAATAAAGACAATTTATGCAATGCACAGTTGTGACTTTGAACTTCTACAAGCATAACCTTTCTGTTTGTAATGATTAACACAGACATTGTCAAGTAAAAACCACACGTTTTACAAAATTAATTAGACAACTAGATGTCAAACAATGGAGTTTTCTAGTTTTAATACCTGGGCAAGTTGCTTTGTTTGCTGTGGGTTTCAAGTTTCTCACCATGGTTTAAGGTACATTTTTTACCACCAACACTTACCATTTCCAGACTCCAACTCTTTCTGTATCCCAGACTTATATTCTTGACAGATGCCACACATTACTTTATAAATTGTACAGAAAAGCCTTTCACCATTCTTTATGCAGATTCAAGAATACTCCGAGGTGTATATTAACCTAGAATTACTTCTGAGTCTATCTTAGACTCACAGTGTGATATTTCCTTTATGAATAACAATGGTGATCATTAAAACAAACTTCAATTGACTAAACATTATAGTACCTTGCATGCTGATGGTACTGTCTATCTTCATACAAGTGGAAATGTATATAGTCTCGGCCCTCCTTGGTGGTGCAATGGATTAAAGTACAGCACTATGAAACTAGCTGCATCTAAAGCATCAGCAAGAGTTCGATCCTGGCCAGGGAGGTGACCCACATGGCAAGCAGACCTCTCCTGCCTAGCCTGCTGCTCCCCTCAGCAGTGCTCTGCTCCCAAGTCTGCCTCTGGTGAATGATCTCATCCCTCCCACCTGTGACCTATACCCCAGTTCTTGTAAGCATACACTAAAAGAAAATAATAAAAAAGGCCAAACCATGAAGTAAATACTGGGAATTAAGGAGTAGCTTTTTATTAACTGATGATTTATAAGAGAAATTTATGTTTCAAATAAGTTTAGTCTGTTTTAAAAATAGGACAAAGATATTTCATATAATTCCATTCATAATGCAAATTTCTATTTCACAGTTCATGTTATAGGAATCATACTTTCTCTTTGCCTGAATAACCCCAAGTATGATTTTTTTTTAAAGATTTATTTATTTATTCGTACAGAACTGGGGTACAGGCCAGAGATGCGGAGGGTGAGGATTCACCAGAGACAGAGTCGGGAGCAGAACAGGCAGATTGACAAAGTACACTGCTGAGGGGAGCAGCGGGCGGGTCAGGAGAGGTCTGCCTCGCCATGTGGATCTCCTCTGGGGCAGGCGGGGATTGAACTCATGAGGAAGTGGCTTAAGCTTCTTAGTTCTGTGCTTTAACCCGCTGCACCACCAGGGAGGACCCCAAGTATGATTTTTTTAACTGTATTTTTTTATTGAATTAATGTTGATTTATAATACTGTACATGATGTAGAAATATAGAGTTACATTTCTTCAGATTATGATCCTATACCTCACTCACCACCAAGAGAGACTATTTTAAATTATAACTTTTAGAGATTTGAAAATTTCCGTGTTAAAACAGCACAAGAATCAACTCATCAATGGGAGAATTTAATACTTCAAACATAATATCTGAAATCAATAATCACAACTAAGAAGTATATTGAAGAATAATAAACCATCATAAGATACTCTCCATAGTGGGGAAAAGATTACATAAACTCTTACCTGGATCCATTTATCTGGAATGGCCATGGCTAATCGATAGTCAAAGCCACCCCCTCCCTGGGAAATGGGAGAACACAGCGCTGGCATTCCTGATACGTCCTAAAACAAAGTACATTTGTATTATCAGTTCATCCTTTCCAAATTTTTACTAAACACTCTTCTGACAGTAAGAATTTGACAATAAATTAACACAATAAACAGAGGAATGTATTTTTAGAGAGTTCTGGTAAAATAATTGTAAAAGTAGATAAAATTATGACAGTGTACCTAACTTCCCACTAAGATTTTATGTAATGCTATTCACTGGAGGACAACTTTGATCATGTGAGCACATAGTTTTCTTTTCCTTAGTATCACATAGAGAAAGCAACATAGTAAAAGTATTATTGCCAAAGCACAGTTCTTCAGACTTAATTTTTTACTACTGTATGAATACTTTTATATTTATTTCTTATAAACACCTTATAAGTTGTTACTTTTATCAAACACACCTTATAATTTACTGCTTTTATCAAACACAAACACTGGTGCCATAATACCTATTATACTAGGCGGCAAAGATAGCATGAAGTATATTTTGTTAGCACTTAGTTCCCAATGAATGGAAAGTTGAGCTAGTGCATTATCAGTGTAGCAATAAGATGGTTTCTCTGTGGTTGCTAGTACTAGAAAAGGTTCTTTGAGGTTATCTAGTGGATCCTCTTCACTTTGCTGATAAAGAAACAGAGGCTTATTGAGGTGAATGGATCTTAAGTGATACATGTTTCTCAGTGGTAGAGCTAGGACTCAGATGTCAAGTCTTTCAACTTTCTACCCTGCCATGCTACCACTAGACTACAGATGAATCCGAGAATCAATTCAACACACAGATAAGTAATTAAAATTTTTTGCTAAGGACCTGCACTTAGCAACATGTATTATTTTGCATCTGTGGAAAATATGATCCACATACTACCATTTTAAATGCACACTATCTTTAAATAAACCCTTTTCTGTTGCTTCATCTCTATAGACACTATCTAATTTCATCTTCATCACTGCTTGCTTAATAAGACCATTATATTTCAAAGTGGAATTCGTCACTTCCAGTTTCTCTTCACACAAACTGTTGACAAACTAGAGCCTAATGAGAATCTGTTACTAACACTACCTGTCAATAACAGTCAAGAGCCATCAATTGAAATTCAACTATTTTAAAGGTTCATCACATACTTTAATCCCTGAAGTATAATTTATTATTTGATTATATGCTACCTCATCCTCTGTTATAATGTAAGATACACAGAGAGTTTGCTTTTGGTTGTTGCAAGGATCTAGAATAGTAGAGTAGTTCCTGGCACTAGCATATACGCAATAAGTACTCTCTGAGTGAAGTAATGAGGTGCTACAAGAATTTAAAGTAAATAAGGCATAGTTTCTGACTACAGGGGACTCACAAACTAGGACCAAAATGTACAATACACACTTACTATCATGAAATGACAATATGATGATTGTAATAGTTGGTAACTGAAGAACACCAAGTGAAATGGAGACACAGATTCTTTCCACCATTATTACCTATTCTTTTAGTTCAGTTACTAAATCCTTATCCACTCTAAGCACTTACTCTTCCCTTTGCTTTTCACAAGCATTTCTATTTGTGTCATGGCTCAAATTCTTTTTTGGATATTCTTCTTATTTCTTATAGCTAATAGTATAAGAAATACTATTAGCTCTCTGAGACTTGTCTCAAATACTTCTTTATTCACAACATCATCCCAAAACTCTTCCACAGAAAGGCCAGACAAAATAAATATATGACCTTTGGATTATCAAAATAAATTGTTATTGGTTTCCTTATGGAAGAGAGGTATGAGTAAATAAAATACATGGCCAAATATTTTCATAAATCGTATTTTCAAAAGCAAAAGCAAATAAAAATTTGTCACTATCTTATTTCTACATTGTAATCTATAGTTTATAAAATGGAAAAAAAAAGATGAATGAAAAACTATGGATGGTTAACAGAAAAGAAGCTATGACAAAAGAAGAAAAAACAGGTTATCAAAATATGATATACTTTCATAGCTTTGGTAGGTATCTGTTCAATTTCTCTGAACACTGGCAGAATAAACAATAGATACCAGATACTTTTGTTAGGTGTTGGAGTTACAGACACAATGTCTTTTCAAAAGGGTTTCATAAGAGCATGGGGTCAGAAATGACTAGTAATATGCTGTCATTAAAAATTAAGGCAATTTTTCTCAAGAAATATTAAGGGTGTTCTATGTTTGCTCAAAAAATGTTTTAGGAAACACTTTGAAAGGAAATAAAATCTACAAGGAAAATTATTCAGACACCATTGATCTTGGATCCTACATTTGAATGCTAGAAAACTGCCTCATTAGTGCTTGAGATATTTGTAGTTATCATTGAAAGATGAGAATCAATGACTGTCCTTTTAAAATCTTACAAGTTAAAATGAAGGCAAATGAAAGATAACTAAAATAAATGTGCTTTCAATATAAAAATGTTGACAGCTACCAACACATCATATTAACTCAACTAATCATTATCTGTTTCAATTTAAGATAAAATAGTTCTAATTATTTAATATCTAAAGAATATTTATGATTATTCCAGAGGGAGAAAATAATCTCAATTGCATATATTTTAAATTAGTATAGCAAATATAGCCTTATAATATAGAAAATATATTCTATATTATTAGCTGTCAAAACAAAAAATTCAAATTTCTACTACAGGGTTTTATATAAAATTGCATTACTTATTTGTTACACCATGCTGCTTTCTTAAACAATAGTTCATGAGGATCAATTTCACATTTTGAAGATATTCCCAAAAGAGAGAAAAGTGATGTATTGAAATTGAAGTAGTTTTCAATTTAAGTAAAATAAATTGAAGACAAATCTTGTTTAAAAAAATCTAAAACCAAGTAATATAAAGTAGGCTAAAGACTCCAACTTTCATTGGTAGAAACACTGATAATCAGACAAGAGCTCCCTAGATGATAAAACCATTTTTCTTGAAATGAATGGAAAGATCAATGTAACAATTTTAACTTTCATGTATTAAATAATTGCTCCTTTTTCCGCAGCACCCACTTTTGATTTGTGGTGTCATTAATTGTTTGTAGCAATTTGTCATGTATAATGTCATTACTCTGAATTGCCATACATATAATTGACAAAATGATTAGCTTTTTTGATGTCTGAAAGATAAAATTAAAGTATATGAGACAAAATAAAAATTTAAAATATACTGTGATTGATGTAAAATATTAGCACAAGCATTTGAAAGTTCTATAAGATATGATAAAATGTAGAAAGGTAAGGAATGTGAAAATGTGAAATAATACAGGGTATTAAAAAGGAAATATATATGTGTGTATAAATATATATATATATATGTATTTATATATATTTTTTCAATTCTACATCAAAAGTTTATTCCAGGAGTTTTGGACTTTATTCCCAGAAGACATGTCTAAAGAGTATAATTTTTGTATGCTAAATAAACAAGGAAATAAAAACACCCAGTTAGGAGGTTTGGATTTTGAGAAATCATAGAAACAATGTTATACAAATAAGAAATACTAAAAGGAGACCATTACAACTGCTTTTCATTCTATAGACCAAAATGTTAGCAATGTACAAATATGCCTTAATGCTGACCTTCTGAGTCTTAATGTTTTTATGTCAACCATTACTTTGTACAGCACAATTTTAACATACAAAATTCAATTTTAATAATTCCTAGTTAGAGGACTCAGAAAACCAGAGGGATTTTAGTACTAAATCTAAATTAGCATAAGCATTTAACAAACTTCTTAATTTATCACATTTATCACCAAGAGGGGAATTGTCAATTATGCATATACCGAATTATATCATTAGAGTGCAGCTTTGGGACAGTTAATCATGAACCTTCAGTAATCATGAATAACTAGAGAACATTTGGCAATCCAAGAGCAATAACGTAAACAAGAAAGGTAATCGCATCAGAACAAGAAGCTTCAGAGAAGCTCATGGGCAACGATCCATGCCATCTCCAATGATTAAACCAGAAAAGAGAAAAGAAAAATAAAGAAACAGACGGACGCACATTAATATTCAATTCTCTGCTGAGAGTCTCATGGCACAAAGACCTGTCCACTGATTAGGATATTTTAATTTCTAACCACTGATTTTTTTGAACAACAGAATGAGGACAAATGATTAGTGTATTCTCTCTCCTAATAGGAAAACAATGAATTCTAAATAATGTCCCACCCATACAAGGTAGTTGCATCATGGTGAGGCTACAATTTCAATTATTCAATTATTGACAACATGAGATTAATCACTCAAATACCATCTGTTCACAAAGTGTTCCATATCAATGGGTGTTAGAGGGTAGACAATCTTTATGGCCTTACCTCAGCTATTGTTATAGAATCTGGATACAAACTGTGAACCAAATGATTTGCCAACATGAGGTAAATTAAGGCATCTTCATCTACTTGTAGACCAAAATATTCATGGTAATCACCTGAAAAACCTTGACCTAGAGAATAAAAAGAAATCAATATGGATGTGTTATGTTAACATGAAAGTCTAAACTATGCCCAACTGTCCCCACCAATTAGCTTTTTATTTTATTTTAATATTAGTTTTACTATCATGTAAAAACTTGGTGAACCACTACCCTGCATAATATCATCAGCAGCAAATATATGAAAAGCATTGCATATTTAAAGTCAGACTACAGATGAACCTGCAATTCAGTTTCTGTTTTACAAAAGCAAAACCATTATTTTATTTAAAAGTCGAATTTAATTTTAACTGACTTTTTAACAGAAAATAAAGTGATAGAAAGGTAATTCTAAGTTTCAATTTTTAGATATATTTTTTTATCATGATGATTGCTAATGTAAGTTAGCTCCTACTAGTACTCTCTCCAATAAAGAAAAGCACATGTGAAAACCATCACAAAACCAAGGTATGTTTCTATTGTTACTCATGTTTCAATTTATGCAATATAGATGGCCTATGAAAACAAAAAGATCTGGAAATTCTGAAACTTCCTACTACATCCTCTTTCCATTTCTTCCTGCTTTTGGTTGCTCGAAGTATGATATTTCATTTACTGGGGCAATACTATTTAATTTCAATTCTTTCAGTTGTTTACTCAGTTGTCAACAAATCAGTGTTCAATACTTGTATTTTTGCCCCTGATCCCTTATACCTAACTATTTTATTTTCCTCACTCTTTTCTTTAGCTTGTTAAATGCTATCATTTGAAGAATATTATCAATCATAATTATGGAAATTTTTGTCTTTATTTTTTTTTCAAATTTCTATGTCAAGAGCAACATGACTATCCAGCTTCTGAGTTAAAATTTGTTTCCCTAAGAATTTTGTAGATATTGCTACTGCTAACAAAGTATTATAAATCCATCCAATTTTTTATTCAGGCATACAAATTCCTTAGTTTCTCAAATTCTTGATTAATTTTTTTAAGCACTGAATTGTATGACTTAAACACCCTGTGTCTTGATGTCAATTACTTCAGTTCAACTTTTTTCTAGAATACCATATGATCTTTTGCTGTGCTGTTTTAGTTTTTTTTTTTCTTTATTCCAATGGGGGAAAACAGTAGTAACTCAATATTTTTCTTGGACTTTCTATCCCAAAATCATATGCCACATCTATAGATTTCAGCTTGTTTTCCCAACTCCTCAAGTTACTGGAAAAAAAAAAAAAAAACATCTTGAAACAGTCAGATGTTCTGAGAGAGCATGTAAGTGTTTTAGTCTAGAAGATGATAGTTCCTGAATTTTGCCATGCTTGCCTTTTTCGTCTCTTAAGTGAACTTCTTCCCAAACTGGGTCATATTAATAAAACCTGTCACATTACATAGATTCAATTCTTCCCCAAGAGCATTTCACAGGAGCAGAGCCATTTCTAAAGGCAGATAGCATCAGCCTTGACTACAGCTTCTTTCCTTGGCAGCCACTGTTCAAGATTTACAGTCTAACATTTTTCTCCCCTCACACATCCCTCCTTTCTTTTGAGTGTTTGTAGTTAGGAAGTATTTATCTATTGAGCAAGTAAAAACAGTTTGTCACATTTTCTATTGAGGGACTCGACTTCTGTGATTCCCATCTTTATATAACTTTTAAATTGAGGATCTCTGATCAATACCTTTAACTACAAACTAATCTATAATTTATGTTTAACTGAATATTTAAAACAAATATTTTTAAAATATACATATTGTCTTTAATATGAATATGCAAAGGCCCACATGTGGACAAATATTCACATTGGTTGTTTTATTTTATTTTTCATTATAATTGCCCTGTTCACATATTCAGAGTATGGTGACAAATGATTTCTTTAAAAAAATATTTTTTAAAAGAAAGTTACATTTAAGGATAGCATACTATAAGGTAGTTATATTTGATGCAATGTTATTTATAAGCTTTTACATATTTATAAAATTTATTTATGATCAACCCTTGCTAAAAAGTAAAGGTGACTACAGAAAAGACATTTAAATTGGAATTAATTATAACCCAGTCAACAATAATAGTCAGTGTAGCTCATGTGACTAAACCTTAAATCTAGTTGCAATCTTCCAGTAAAAAAATCAAATCAGGTTATTAGTTATGTCTGTAATATATGAGGTTACCTACCCATTCCATGGTGATGATAGAGCATGGATGTAACTCCATCAAAACGAAAACCATCAAAGCCATATTCCTCTAACCACCATCTTAAGTTTGACAGAAGAAATCGTAAAACTTCCCAGCTAGAATTAGAGAAATATACATATTTAAGCAAAATGTGCAGTATGTGGTTCACTGTTGCTTGCTGAGTATTAATTAAAATTAAGTTTCTCTTAAAAATCATGATGTTCAAAGAAATATGAGACACAAAATGAATAGCAATTATCTTGTTTGAAGAAAATCACTCTAAAAGAAAAATGGTTAATTACTTTTAGCTGCAAAATTAATCATTTAATATCTGGAAAAATCCAAGGAAATCATGGGCACGTGGGACTCCCTTAGTACATGCTATGTCTCAACAAACATAAAGTAGTTACTAAGTAGTGTTCAAAAAAGACGTATTACTGGACTCTGAATTTTCATCAACTTTTCCACTTAACATAGCCATTATTTCAGGGGCCTCTTGGTGGCCTAGTGGTTGAGTCTCAATTCTAGCACCTCTACTGGCCTGAGGTCCATCCCAGCTAGGGAGTTAGATTAGAAAGGGCACAGCAGAGCTCTCCTCTCTCCCCTCAGCAGTGTATTTCAGTAAATCTTCCTGATGAATCCTCTCATCCCCTGTACCTCTGAACTCTGTCCTACACCCAGTTCTTGTATGTATAAATAGACAAAAAGTAAATCTTTAAGATATAATATATATATGTATATATATAGTCATATTGTCATAGCTTCTCCTTTTAGAAAATGTAATTTTACTATGAGTAGAAAAACTGTCCCAATGGTTGCTTAAGATATTTCATCATGCTACAGTTTCAGATATACAATTCAGAATAAAAAGTAAAAGAAAAATTAGACTTTTAAAAGCAACCACATGATAAGCCAAATTACTTTAATAGACTATTGTCAGTGTGAAAAAAAGAAACCTAATTACTAAAAAACATATGTTTAGTAAAGTAAAAAAATATACAAGTTAAAAAGCCCTACATCCATAAAAACAGAAAGAAAACAAAGAACTATATAACTCAATTAAAAACACCGCACGAAACAAGTCTATTCTGGACAATTGAAAAGAGGGCATCATCAATTAGTCTATTCCTTAGTCATATAGTTATGGTTGAGTTCTCTATCTTATTATAACTGAAGTTTTAAGGCTTTAATACCTCATTTAGTTTAATGACAAAGCAGTAATAGTGTACACAAATCTTTAACCCAGTTGAAATTTATGTATTTTTAAAATCTCCCATATATTAAAGAGCAATTTGACATAAGTGGAGATTAAGTCATCACAATCAACTCTGGAATTGTAAATTCAAACTTTGGGGAAAGGTAAGTGCTGTTTCTAATTCACTGCTTTAAGTTACTTTGATTTTTAAAAACTTATTCCAATTTAATAAAAAGAAATGATAAAACAGATAGTCAAGCAACTGCCAAGCTAAGAAAGGGAGTAAGGAGTTTTTATATTGTTAGATTCATGATATCATGAAGATAGGATGTGCATAATCACTTAGGGTTTAACAACAACAACAAAAAAGCTGTTTAACAAAAAGAAATAAGCAAAAACAGAGGCTACAACCAAACACGCTCAAAATTATTATATTTTCATACAAATTTCTGATTTTTATCCCTTTTTTGATTTTTTTTTTTTTTAAGATACAACCTTCTTGAAAGAGCAGTTTTAGATTCACAGCAAAATTGAAAAGATGGTACAGAGTTCTCCCTGATGGTACAGGTACTCCGTGTTCTGAGACAGCCAGAATAATACACATCTATCTTTTCTAACAAGGTTGTTAGATAAGCGTTGCAGAAAGAAGACAAAAAATTTGAATATCAATAATTTTTGTAACAAGACCCACAGATCAATGCAATGGAATCGAGAGCTCAAAAATAAAACCACACACATGGATAACCAATCTATGACAAAGGAACAAACTGGAGAAGGAAGGTCCTTTCCATAAACAGTACTTGGAAAATTAGACAAGCACATGCAGTAAAATGCAAATAGACTACTTTTTCACACCACACAGGAAAATTAACTCAAAGTAGCTAAAATATTTGCATGCAAGTACACCAAGTACATAAACCCACCAAGTACATAAACCCACCAAGTACATAAATAAATGTAAACAGGTAAAACTCTCCATGACATAAACTTCATCGACATCTTGAGGACTCATCTCCAATAGCAAGGAGGACAAAGGACAAAATTAACAACAGGAACTATATCAAACTAAAAGCTCCTGCACACCAGAAGAGAGAACAACTGAAAAAAAGCAGACACCCCAGAGAGGGCAAAAATTATTTGCACATTAGGTACCTGATAAGGGACTGACACTGAAGATTTATGAAGAGCTCATACAACTCAGTAAAAACAAAACAAAGCAAAAAACCCAAACAAAACATGGTCAGAAGATTAAACAGGCACTTCTCCAAAGAAGATATGCATGTGACTAACAGGCATATAAAAACAGTTCATCATCACTTATCATAGGAAAATGCAAATTAAAACCTCAATGAGGCACCACCTCACACCTCTGAGAAGGAATGACTCATATAAAGAAAAAGAAAAGGAAAGGAAAAGAAACAAGTGTTGGTGGTAGTGTGGAATAAAAGAAACCTTACATAGTATTGGTGGGAGTGTAGACTGGTCCAGACCAGTGGATCTGCCATATGACCCGGCAATTTTACTCCTAGGAATCTATCCAAAGAACACAAAAAACCTAATTTGAAAGGAAACTGGCACTCACATACTTAGTGCCATGCTATTTACAGAATAAACCAAACATGGAAACGACCTAACTAACTCAAAAAGGATGAACTCATGCCATTCACAGCAACATGGGGAGGGACTAGAAGGGATTACACTCAGTGAGATAAATCAGGAGTAAAATGATAAATATCAGATGGTTTCACTTACACGCAGAATAACGAGGAACCAAACAAAGGGTCAGACAAAGGCAGATCTTGAAAGCTGAGCAAAGATCTGAGGCATCCAGAAGGGGAGAGGGTGGGAGGGAAATAAGGTGGGAGGAGAACACAGGGTCCATGGTGATGAACTATGGGTGCTATGGTGGTGGAAGACGTATGGTGAACACACCTGAGGGGAGAAATCCTCTACTGTCAAATAAGGTAAGAAAAAGGTACCTCATTAAAAATAAATTGTGAAAAAATAATCTTTTGGAAACAAAGTTATCTAAGTATATGAATATTATTTTAGTTAAGTATTTAGCTAGAAATGTGTTTTTTCTTCTAAAATGGAAATTGATAATTTTAGCCTAAGCTACTCTTGAGTATAACCAAAACCTAAATACAAAGTATTTTGAATAGGTATTTAAGATAAGAATAGATAAACCAAATGTCAATATTGTCCCTAGGTTTGTCTGATATGAACTACTATCTTCTCTGGCTTCCAAAATACTTTTAAAATGTTCAATTACAAATGCATGTAGCTGGAATATGTGTTTTGTAGAACTTCCCAGTCCTTGGCATTCCACATTTTTCTTATACTAACCCTATTTATTCACTTATATGAGTAAACATAAATTTGTATCACTGGATTGAGGCTGTGATACTGTCAATTATTAGCATAGATATCATGGACTACATGTTTTCTAGGTAGGCAAAAGTTCAAATATAAATGCTGTATCCTAATATCTATTGTATAAAGATGAAAAATAATTTCTTTAAATGAGCACTTATGAATTCAATGAAAAACAGACAAAGGAGATGATTTTATTTTAATAACTGAAAAGAAAGAAAGCTTTGCCTTAACCACCTGGTTGCTTAAGGGCATGGCTACAAAATGTCCTATTGAGTCCCACATACTGTTTAATCTAGAACCTTCTTGACCAAAAGAGCTAAAAGAAACATGTAAAAGAAAAAGGCACTTAGCTCTAACTGTGAGAAGATAGTGTCCTAGCATGGATGATGAAAAAAAAAAATCTGTGAAAAGTAGAACAGGAACATTGATGACAATGAAGCATTTAATTTTAAACGTCTAAAGGGTTTAAAAATATGGAATTGTATTATTTAAACCTCAAATATGCTCTTGAGTTGAAACTTCAACAACCTAAATAAGCCTAAAAAGAAAAAAAAAAAAGTAAGATTAAACTGAGAGGAATAAATCAAATTTGGACTGCTTTCAAAATTATTTTCTAATATTGAATGAGCCACTAATGAAACATAAAATAGATGTATTATCTATAGAGATAGAAAATAACAGAGAATCATAAAATTTTACTGGATAACAAATTTTCTGGGAAAAATGGTAAAGAACTATCCACTAAAAGTAACTTGAGACAAACAAAATTAAATGACTTTATCAAAAAATTAAGAGTGTAGATTTAAACCCAAGAGTCTCTAGATAACTCTGGGAAAGTTGCTCTAATCCTCAGCGAGGATTATATATGGTTATTTCAAGAAGTTCTGTACAAACAAAGGAAATCTGGGTAATTGTTCAGTTAACGTATTTATATATTATCTATGCATTGGCAAAAGCAAAGAGGGCTGTTAGAATTGACCTTATTTGTTTAGAAACTTATTTTCTGGGAACTGGGAATTTTAGATGTCATGAAGCCTGAAGTCTGTCATTGCTGAAGTTACTGATTTGCTACTTTTAGGTGCTGCAGTCTCTTTCCTGGACTAGGTACTTGGCTGGGTTGAGAGTTCCTAGTTCTTCAGTTCCTTAGTTAAAACATGAAGGGGGCATACCCCTCTGAATTGCTGATTTTTAGTTGACAATAAAAATCAAGGAAGTTTTATTTATTTATTTTTAAGATTTATTTATTTATGCATGCAGAACTAG